TAATCCTTCCTACCCAACTCCTGTTTTCTTTTAAGTGAGATAGAATTCTTGAGCATTACACTGTAGTTCAGTGAGTCCTCAGAAATGCTGACATTTTTAAAGCATATGAGATCATCTTTGTTTTGAGATTCTTGGCCCTCTTACTGTAAAAGCCCACTCCATCCTGCACTACTAAGGGAAACTTGAATAGTTACAATTCAGTGTAAGGTCATTAAATTTGATTGGATTTTCTTGGAAGTGGCTATTATGTATAACTTGACTTTACTTTTCTCTATGCCTCATTCTGGTTTATGCAGTCAAAAATTGAAGTAAATTACATGTTTGTGTAATCAGATGTGTGAATATAAGTTTACTTGTAACACAAGGAAATGCTTAGAAGTATTTAGTCTTTTACCATTACACAACTCTAATTGTGTGAGTGTCATTGCAGTTGAAAGTCCTCAGATGCACATCAGTGTGGTGGGCAACCAGTGGCAGTGGAAGTAGGTTGGTTGTGTTAGGGTTAGGGTTAGGGTTGGAGTTAGGGTTAGGGTTAGGCTTCTGCAGAAAAACAAACAGTGGGATCTTTCTGGAGCTGTAGCCTATACACTCGTGAGTCTTGATTAGGACATTCTCTGTGGTTTTCCATGAACTTGTTCTAGTTTCTGTTCTGGCCTTATTATCCTTTCTGCCCTAGAAGCCTTCCAGTGTATAATACAGACTGGTATGTTTCAAGCTGTTTTTTTCTTTATTTAGGACACTATATAAGAATTTCAGATGTAGTTCATTGCATCCTTACAACAACCTCATAATGAATATCATTTTCAAGAAAGGGAAACTTAGGTTTAGATCAAAACATATCCAAAGTCTGAAAGATACTCTTGCAGGTCCATCTCTGTCCTTTGTGATTCCAGAGCACAGGTACTTTGTTTGTTTGTTTATTTATTTTTGGGTACCAGGGATCGAACTTGGGACCTTGCGCTTGTGAGCCAGGCAGAGGAACCACTGAGCTAAACTCCAGGCCCAGTTTATTTATTTATTGAGACAAGATCTTGTTATGTAGTTCAGGCTGACCTTGAAATCACCATGTAGCCCAGGCTAGCATTGATCTCATAGCAATCCTCATGCTTCTGCCTCCTGAGCTCCTGGGAGCTGGAATTATAGGGATGTAGTACCACACCCTGCTTCCAGAGCACAGATCCTGAAACATATGTGGTACATGGTCCTTCACAAGTAACTACAAGGATGCTTCCTCCCTTAACTGTCTCCCAGTCAGGTTGATGACAGTGTCTTTTATTCTCACCCAGAGTGTTGGTTTAGAAAAGGAACAGAAATATTTGTATGAAGGGGAAACAAAATGTTTTGGAATAAGATATTCAATACTGAACTTATTTGTTGCCTCCCCAGTGCCTATTCCCTGCCATCGTGTTCTGAGATAAACCACTCACCATTAAAAATCCAGCAACAACTATAGGTAATAGGACTAAACACTGTAATGGACCTAAGCTTACACCCTGAATCTGACAGGACTGGATGTTGTCTTGAGCCCCTGGATGGAGTAGAAGCTTACCGAAGGGGAGTATTTTCTCCCTTTAACCCCATGAAGATGAAGACACTGGACACTGGTCTTTAGTTTTGGTTTATGGGAAACTCAGTGGATCACCAAGGTATCTTGCTATGGGTTTTATGATGTTAATCTGCCAAGAATTCTTAATAATCATACTGGGTTTAATTAAGGCCATATTTTAAAAGCCCCAAATCTTTGTATGTATTCTCTCCTTTACATGGTATAAATGGACATTAAGCATTATGACAAAGAGCTGTGTCAAAAATTCTTGATTATTTCCCTTCATCTTTTCCTGTGCCCTGGCTTATGATCAGATCACACTAAAATAAATGTCTAGCTTGGAGGCTCTGTAGTATATTTTCTTCAACTCCAAATAGAAGTCAGTAGCTTACATTTGGCACTAAAACTGTGGTCATAGAAACCCTCCCTTTCCCAATATTTACCCTCAACTTTGGCACTAGACTTGAGATCTTAATAAGACAGGGAGATCACCTCTTATCCTCAAATGATGGAGAAATAATCAAACATGATCCAAACAATCCTAGTCTTATGCATAGACTGAAGAAATGGAAATTTGGACTAGTTAGAAGTTTAAGCTAAACTCTAGAAAAGAACTTACATTATTCCAAGTCCCTCCCCCTTTTTTGATGATATAAGGCTTGTATGTTACTTCTGGCTTCCTTAGATTATGTGCTCCAAAGTACTACAGTGATTTAATTTTTAATCCAAAATTAGCCACTTGAGACTTTTAAGTTATTGTTATGGTTTGTAGGTTGAATAAATTAAATGACAATCTGAAATATTTCAGAACAGAATGGGAATAACCATTATTCTAGAGCACTCAATTTGGGACTGATTTGTTCATTCTACTTTTTGTACATTATGGCAAAATTTCTACAGGTTTCTGATCTGAAATAGTCTTTTCATTATGGAATCTTAATGATCAACAAACAATATGATAAGAAGGTCCAAATATCATAATAAAGAGTAGCAACAAAATTTCTCCAAAAATATCGAATGATTTCAAGGCTTGTGATCACCACAGGACCATTATTTATTCTCATCCCCTTTGACTCACCTGTGTCCATGTCAATTATACTGTTGTCTTTTTCCTTCTGTCATTTCATTATTTAGTATAGCTTCTGTTAGTGACATATGTCATTTTAGAGCTTCTAAGATGGAATCTTCCAATGTCCTTTGTTTCTTTCTCCTTGCTCCCAGTTAACCATATTATTAGGAAATGTGGTATTTACTGGAAAAATGACCATGTCTGAGGATTTTAACCTCTATAGGCACTAAAGTTTCATTCCATATCCCTGTTATATTAAGATTTTGATGTTCGTGTTGTTCTATTCTTAACAAATGCTCTTTTGTGAGCAAGCCAAAAGAATGAGAAAAGTTCTCCAACACTGTGAAAGTCCAGAAAATTTCAATGAGTAGAGTTTGTAAACCATCCTTAAGAAGGTGTTGCAGTAGAATTCTAGACCTTCTAGAAATTGTGCTTTATAACACTCTTCAGAGAAAAACTAGAACTGTTATGTCAAAAAGGATAAAAGTGATCTTACTTTCTTGTTGTCTTGTTCTTAATTTTAAGAGGTTAAATAGGCAAGAAAAGAGAATTATAGGGCAAGAACTTATCCCCTCTCTTCTTCTTCACTTTCTGATATTAAGTCTATGCTACATGACTTTTAGGATAGCCCTTAGCCCCTTATCCCCACAGTTCAGGTATGACCCAGAAATTTTCCCCAGGGCTTCTTCCTATCATCACTAAGTATTTATATGTCCCATAGATGTAGGACTGTCACCTGGGTTGTGTCCCTGCTTTAAGAATATGGAGAAGTCTCTCTTGGATCTGCTTGGTACAGACAGCATAGACAACTGGGTTAAGGATGGGTGGGATGAGGAGGTAAAAATTGGCCAAAAGAATATGGATGTGAGAAGGCACATGGTGACCAAAGCGATGGGTGAGAGATGAAACAGCAATAGGGATATAGAAGACAAGGATGGCACAGATGTGAGAACCACAAGTACCTAAGGTTTTAAACCTGGCATCATGTGTAGCCAAACCCAATACAGCCCTGAAAATCATCACATACGTAGCAGTGATGGTTAGTGAATCTAGGATTAAAACCAGGAAGCCAATTCCCATTCCATATAAGTTATTGACCCTTGTATCACCACATGCCAAGGTGACCACAGCCATGTGCTCACAGTAGGAATGGGGAATGACTTGGGCCCGGTAAAGGGGAAGCCTCAGGCGAATCAGCAGGGGCAGAGGTCCTATGTAGACTACACCCCTGAGAAGGGCAGCCAGCCCTAAACGACCCACCACTGCATGGGTGAGCATGGAGGTATGGTGTAATGGGTCACAGATGGCCACATAGCGGTCAAATGCCATGGCAAGAAAGATGCCTGACTCAACAGTAGCAAAGCAGTGGATGAAGAACATCTGGGCCAAGCATGCATCCAGACTAATGTTGCGGGGACCAAACCAGAAGATGGCCAGCAGTTTGGGCATAGTAGAAGTGGATAGGACCAAGTCAGTGACAGCCAGCATGCATAGAAAGAAGTACATGGGCTGGTGCAGGCTGCGCTCCATCTTTACCACTGCCAGGATGGTGACATTCCCCACCAGAGCCACCAGGTACATGGAGCCAAAGGGGATGGAGAGCCAGAGGTGCAGGGACTCTAGCCCTGGGATACCTGTGAGCCAGAAAGAGCTGGGCACAGAGCAGGCATTATTGGAGATGAACATGCTTAGGAGTATGGGGTATCCAGGAGACAAGAGCTCTTCATTTTAGATTTCCACTCTTCTGAGAGATAACAACTGTGACATTGGTAGACTAGATCCTTATTTGCATTTTGGCAGCTGGTGTTACCTACGATAAAGAAGAATTCTGAATACCAACTTGAAAAGTTGTTATGTATTTTACTATAATTATCCATGATGATACCTCTTGTTAAATGTAGAAGGAGGCATGTTCATGGTTTCTACTGCTAAATTGCCCTCTTATACTGTAGAAATCCTCAAAATTATGCTTTCCTTTGACCTATTAATTTTACTTTGGTGAACTTTTCCCTAAAGGTAATGGACAACACAGATGTAAATATGTATAGTGGGTTTATCCTACTGCCTGCATACACTTTTCTTATTACTGACCAATTGAACCTTAATATCAAGAATACACCAAGAATATACACCGATCAGCTGCTTACAATTTTTATATTAATGAAAAATTGAACTTGTGTTTAAAAAAAGCATTGCTTTAGTTCTGGCAAGAATCTGGGCATTACTTGTAATTTGACATAAGATATTTTTTTTATGAGTAAATTTTATTAGACTTTTCCACAAACTGATAGCAGAGATTAAGTAGATGGACTGAAATAAAATGATGAGCAAGATCCTTTTTATTAGCAGCATCTTTCTTGTTTTCTTTCTGGGGACAGGGAAGATCACAAAAGCACTGGCCATTGCATACAAAACCCTTGTCTGCCTTTTGCCCTTTAGATGCATTGCTTCATATCCTCAGGACTCAAGACCTGAGAGCAGAGGGTGTGATTCATGTTCTTTATTGTCTGAGTCTTTTCTCCTGATCTTTCTCATCAGATTTCCAGCAGAGTCTAAATGTCTCATGACACCATGCATGCATAGTGATTTTCTTTACTCAGTTATGTTTTGGGTGAGAAGTTTCATCACCTCCTTGCTTTTCACCTAAGGAAATGTTCCCATTCTTCAAGGTCTATTCCAGACCATCCTTATACAAAGCCTTCTGTGGTATCTCTAGTCAATACCAGAGTAAGTAGGTGGGGGAAAGAGAATCACTAAATTCTTCTAAATTATTTCCAACTTGCCCACCCACATTTCAGATTTTATCTAAAATAAGAGCAGCAATTATATTTCCCTAGCAAATAAGAATAAGAAAAGTCCCTCTGTAGCATCATGGGTCCCTGATTCAGGTTCCAACATACAGTTCACTTTAAGTTTTGATGTGTTTCTTCATTGGTTAAACATTGACTGAGTGCTTAGAAGAAACTTGCGAGCTTTGTGACTGTGTAAATGGTTCATAAGATTTTTGTTTTACATCTAATCTCACTGATTCTCTAGTAATTCTATGATTTGGGTACTTACATATGTAAATAAGTGATAGGACATGCGCAGTTCCTTCCTAAGTTTTCAAATGTAGGGTTGCTCTGGATCCATCAGTAAGACAGGAAAGCAAGGAGCCCTGGGAGGCAAAACCACACAGCTGTTCATGCACCGACTTGTCATTTAACAAGTCAGATCTCTCATTCCAGACCTTCAACTTTTCTGTGGTTGAGCAAGTTGCCTAACCTTTGGAAGCCTCCTTTTCCATAGGTAAAATGGGGAGAACATTTACTATAGTGGATAAGTATACAGAACAAATAACACAAATGTAGAACCTTGATATTTGATAGCAGCTGCCATTCTCCTGAAATTCCTGTGGGAGGTAGGCCAGAAATATACATCCCACAAGTTGGAGTAATTTACCTAAGTTTTGGTTATGTGGTACATCTTAGAGGATGCTTCAAATGTGCAGGAATTGATTAGATGGGGCAGATATTTAAAACAAACCCTACGTACAATAGTATGTAATTGTAGTCAACATACAATTTTAAAATATAATGGAAAATGTCTGAAATATTCCCTAAGAGAGTTGTGAGGGACTATTATCTTAAACCAGAAGGGAGCCCAATTTACTCAGTGTCAGGGTGGGCCATGGAAGTAGCTATTCATCACATAAGAATCAATGTCTGGAGATGGCCTTCAATGTAGATTTCTACCTTTGATTTGCTTCGTAACCAATTCAACCAATGAAGTTGTAAATGAATTTTTGTCTGGGACAAAAGTTAAACACAGGTGTAGAAATATCTATTGAGTTGACAATTTTTGTCACTAGTAGTTTGAACTAGATTTTGTGTCACTTGACCCAAACATTCTAAAGAATTTTCCCATCAGCCTACATGAGGGCTTCCTTACATGGACACTTGTGACATGCCTGAAGGCATTCGTTGGAGGCATTTTGACCATGAGTCTGAAGCTTCTGAAAGAAACATTTTATTATGGTGAGATAAGCATGGATTAGAAGCAAGACAGATTTAGGTTCAAATACTAATTACTCTTTCTGGCTCCATAACTTTAGAGTATGTAATTTTTACTTTTGGTTTCAAATTTGTTTCCTGGTCTGTGAAATGGGAGGAACAATAGTTACCTGTGATTTGCTTTATATATTAAATGAACTCGGTGTACTCATGGAAAGCCAATGTTAGGATGCATGGCCTCTGAATAGGCAGTGGCTTTGCTTTACCTACTCTTTCCCTCTGGTCTTTCTCTCCTTCTGCAGAACATAGACATGATGCTATGTCTGCATGATTGTGGTGATTCTGTGTCCTTCTTTCCAAACTGTATGATTTGCCTCTTTAACATAAGTATGATCAGACAGAGACATTAAGATGGTGTTGGGGTTAGGTCAGGAGAGAAGATTGCCTGACCATGGAACAGAAGACAAGAAGTCCAATCAGGATAGAAAACTCCAATCTTTCTTCCGCTGTTCTGAAGGAAAACACTAGGCAACAAAGCCATTCACCTTGAGGTTTCTCTTTCCTGGACCCAACTGAAATTATGCTATACCTCACTTATTTCTTCTATTTGTGACTAGACCTGTGAGAAGACTTGGATCGACCCAAAGACTTCCTGGAACTTGGAGAATGGCTTTCAATGACTTGGATCCCCTCTGTGGAATGTACTTACCCATGGGAGTGCTGTCCAGAGCTCTGAGCTCTGTTCTTTACAGTGATTACCTCTTGTCTGTGTGCTTGGTCATGTTTAGCTGACAGCCAAGGAAAGCCATAGCCGTTCCTCTGATCCTTCTGCTGTCTCTTATCTACATTCTGAAAATAGCCATTTAGTTCCCAAGGGTTGCACAGAAACTTGTATACTTCCCTCAGGAATTTTAGTTACCATCCATAGAGCAGACTTCATTCCTCATTACTCATCCCAGCAGGGACTAGATGCAGACTTGTATTCTTACCGCTAGGCTGGGATTTGAGCCAGCCCCAGGTTTCCAACCATCTTCTCACAGGATGACCTCTTTCACAATGACTCTCAAGGGGCAAGAGAGTTCAGAAGAGAAGGGTGGGGAAAACTGTTGGAGAGTAGTACAAGTAATATGGACTTCTTGGGTTAATCACTGCTTCTACTAAAAAAGTCATAATATAAAATCTAGGCTATACAAAGAATACAAACGTTAACAGTACAATTTTAAAATTCTGTTCCTACTTTTTGCATTTTTGTTTAAAATGAGTAGTTATAATTACAACTTGAAATAATTGTGTATTTACTTAAAGTTACAAGAATAGTGGGAAAGATATTTTCAGTTTTATGCCTGTACCACCACAGTGGCACAGACATGAGTGTTCAGTCTCAGGAATCCTGTATCCAAGCTGTGTCCTCAAAAGACTCCAGTGTGTTTAACTCAACATCAAATGATTCCATCAGCATAATTTCCCTGTAATAATTCAAAATATAAATTTTGTCAATAGGGAGAAAAGGATGTTTTCTTTTTTTTATTTCTATGGAGTGTGAAAAGTTTTATATTTGAACAGGATTTGTGGCCAGTATGTTTATTTTGAAAAAATCCTTTTTGACTGATTCCTAATATTCTTTTTTTTTTTTGGTACTGGGGATCAAACTCGGGCCTTTGCATTTGCACAGCAGGCAGCGAAACCACTGAACCACTGAGCTAAATCACTGGCCCGATTCCTAGTATTCTTAAGTGAAAATAGGGAAGATGATTTTAGAAAATACTGCAAAGATTATTTTCTACAGAAAGTTGACATATATACAAAGAAATACTTTTATAATTGCTTGGTGGTGGGGATTGAACACAGGGTCTTGTGCTTGCCACACATGTTCTCTACTCCCTGAGGTACAATCCCAGCCCCATAATTTCTTTTAATAATTCAATACTCCATCTTTTTTCTTTTTTTGGGAAGTTGAACCTTTACATAATCTCTTGGTTCTTATTTCCCCCTTCCCCTGCCCTCCCTTCAACCCCTCCATCCCTCCCTATTTACAAAGACTTTGTTTCCATTTTTTCATTT